CCAGTCTAAGATACCCCAAGAGCTGGGGTAACAAAGACCATCACTTTTTTTGAAATTACATAAAAAGTGTGAGAGGCAGGAGCCAGCAATTTATGGTGAGTGAACCTAGAGTATAGACATGTATTTTGCATTTTTTCAATTTAAGTTTAATTTAGCTAGTAAAAAAATGGCATCATTTAAAAAAAAGTAGTCTGAGTTACCCCATTTTACGGTACCTATATATACATTGCCTTGAATAAATTCATAAAGCATGAAAATATTGTCTCTAATATTCCCACTATTGTCTCTAATATTCCAACTCAAATAGACAAAGTGACAAGGAGGGACAGGTGAAAAGTAACAGAAACTAAGACACTCAAACAAGAGGTTGCTTACATGGGACGTGGGCCTCCCGCACAAGAGAGACAGTGAAGGGAAATGTAAGGAACCCTACCTACATAATAACTTAAGTTCTTAACCTCACAACTAAAGAGGAATCCAACAAAGTGGATTCCAGACGATATTCAATTATTCTTTGAAATATTCCAAAAATATGAATTAAAGTATAATGTTTTCCATGATGGTTACTCCAACAAAATCAAGAGAGAAACGAGTATTTTGAAACGGAAAGAAGACCTTATTAGTCAGGGTTTAGTTGTTCCCGACGCTGTATTTTTAAGGGCTAGAATATGGGTATAAAAATTTAAAAAAAGACGTACAGACTCGAGTTGTTGAAGGTGATCACACTATTCATCTTCACAGACCTCACTCGATGGCTTCTAACGACTCACTGGCGGGTGCGAACGAGAAGATAGCGGTACCTAAAATACTCTCCTCGTGTGTACAGGCTCACTAGCTGGATAGTCACCAAGCGACCGACACTAGCCAGATTTACTAGCCGTCTGCACTATCCCCGTTTACAAGCACCTCGGGATAGTAAAGGGACTCCAGTACCTTAGTTAAAATTTTATTTCGTTGCTTGTTTTTCACACAGGTGACTTGTGAAAACACTAGCACCGCGAATGCATTGGAAACAGGTCAGAGTAGACAAGTGATGCAGTAGGCAGCCAGTTCCATGAATGGATGATGATTTTCAAGATCAGTGAAATATTGAATGGCACCTCAGAATTCAAGCCGCACTCTAGAATTCAAAACCACAAAACGAAAATGGTGGAGCTTGCGTCGCAGAGATCGGTTCGACAACCTCACTGCCCCCGATCTCTGCCACGTCTACGTCGTGGGGGTACCCTGGCCTGCGCGTCGGCCGGATGCCCGGCTTACTCGCGGGCCAGGCCAATCGGCAGAGGCCCCTCCGCCCGGATCGCCACCAAACGGAGGCTCCCCTCTTCATTTTTTTGACCAAGGGTCGGGGAACCTCGACCTCCCCTTCTCCCTACCCACTTCTTTGGCCGCCTATCTGTCCTGAGGCACACTATGCCCTTCTCTCCTCTCACCTTTTCTTCCTTCTCCTCCTGACCCAGGGTATCCACCCCAACCCTGGCCCGGACCCCTGCTCAGTCTGCTCCCTCCCAGTTACAAAGCGATGTTACTCGTTCTGGTGCTCCACGTGTAACGCCTGGTGCCACAAGCGGTGCTCCGGCCTTCGCTCCATCCACCTATACTCCGCAGACTGGACCTGCCCTACGTGCAGACGGTCTGGAAGACCAGAGAGCCGCACACGGAAGACCAGAGAGCCGCAGCGCGAGGAACCGCAGTCGACGACCTCGTCGCTGGTTCCTCCCTCGCCTACCTCAATGAGGACTCCCATACCCGCCTCCCCTCCCATGGCCCGCCCTCCTCTCCGGACCTCGCCATCATCAGCGGCCACCTACTCCTCAGCACCTCCTGGGCTCCGCAAGTTGCCCTCAACTCGGACCACCTGCCCATCCTGATCCATCTCCCTTCCTCTGCTGATTCCCCAACCCCCCGGGCCGCCCGCTCCTATGTCAACTTCAAAAAAGCTGACTGGCCCGCCTACGCGGCAGCCATTGAAGCGGCGCTCGAGACGGTCCCTCCCCCCACCTCGTGTGGTGGAGAGTAGACCTTAAGGGAAGTCCTGACGACTGCTGCCAGACAGCATATCCCTGCCGGATTCAGGAAGGACTTCTCCCCATCAGTCAACCCTAGCACCCGGTTGCTCATGGAGCAACGGGATGACATTAGGGCGAGTAACCCAACCGACCCACGGCTCCCAGATCTCAACCTGGAAATAGGCCTCTCTATACAGGCCCACGCCAGGAACACATGGCAGGCACATCTTACGTCGTGCGGCAGACGTCCCAACCAATCCAAACATTGGAATATCCTCCGCTCCCTAGCCGGAAAGAGGAACCGCCCTCCCCCCAATCAGCCAAACTAATTTGGTCGGATTTCCCTCTCCTCCCAACGCAAGATCTCCTCCGCCTTCTGCAAGCTTTTCACTTCGGTCGCTCCTCACTCTCAGAGCCCCTCCACCCGCCGCCTCATTCGTCGAATACGAGCCCAACATCCCCTCGACAGGGACTTCTCCGCTTTTACCCCAGACATGGTGAAGCTTGCCATCGCAGCCGCCAACAACTCTTCCGCTCGGGGTCCTGATGGCCTCACGGTGCTTCATCTAAAGCATGTCTCTTATACACATCTAGATGTGTATAAGAGACAGGTCATCTTCACATGCGAGAGCCGCAGCTATTGTATTTTTCCTCTCCTCGGGCATCCTGCTGGGTTGGGCAAGAGTGGTTGCAAAGTGGGCTGCTAGGGCTTCTGCAGTTTTCTCTAGAGAAAGTGGGTTATTTTCGACTGAGAGTGAGATGACTGCATTGGGGAGTCTGCCAGCCACTGCTCGAAACATTTTCCACACTGTTGTGAGAGGAGTCTGTGGGCTTATATGGGAGAGAAATTTTTTCCAAGATTCTTTC